AAAGGTATGCCCGGGCTCGGGGCCGATCGCCCCCCTTTCCCCTTGCCTGTGCCACATGCACATGCCCCCCTTCGTCCCTTCTCTCTCTCTCTCTCCCCCTTCTCTCTCCCCCTTCTCTCTCTCTTTCTCCCCTCCCCTCCCCTCGCCCTTCTTCTGACCCGGCGCGAATCCAGACAAGACGCCAATCGTGCGCAAATGCCCGACTGGCGATTGGGTTGGCTCCCTCGGCGGCGAGGACGGCCATGGCGGGGCTGTCTGGTGTGTTGCCATGTCGGACACGGCCAAGTTTGCCCTCTCCGGCTCGGCCGATTACTTTGCGTGCGTTGCCGGCTGGCCATCTGGTTGCTTGCCCCCTCCCATGGATCCCATCTCCTGTCACCGCCCCCATGGTTCTCACCGATTGTCCCTCGCCTGCTTGATGCATGCGTGCCCGGCCATTGCACCTGCCCACCCGACGATGCTCGGGATAGCATTTACTGGAGCCTCTCCAATGGCGAGCCAATCTTCAAGCTCGACCATTCGACCATCGTTCGCGCCTGTGCCATCGACCCCGGCGCCAACCCGGAGTGGATCTACACCGGCACCAAAAACGGCACTGTCTGCCGCATCTCCACCGCCAACCCGTCCCAGGGTGCGTTTCTTGCCCTCGCCTCCCTGTCGCCACCCTGGCCCCCCCACCATCCACTCACCGTCCCTTTGGGGCCCGTATGGCACAGTCACCTCGTATGACGCGCACACCGATCTCGTGCGCGCCATTGCCCCCATCCCGGACACGACGCTCTTCCTGACGTCCGGCGATGACCGTGTTACCCGGTGCGTCAAGCGCCCCCCCGCCCCCTCTTCCATCTTTGTGTCTGCGTGCTCCCCTTCCGGCACAACTGACCCTCCTCCCCCTTCGGCGTGCGCTGCGCCTCAGCCTCTGGGACACCCGGGCCCCGCCGACCGCGCCGGTCAACTCCCTGACCACTCCGAGCAAGGTCACCTCTTTGGAGCTGGCCCGTGAGGGGTCTTCCGTGATGACTCTCTGCTTCGGTGAGAGCGTCCTCCTGGCGCACAACACCAGGTCCGTCCTTCTGCCCTGTCCACTTTCCCTCTCCCTCCCCCGGTTCCTGCTCCCAGCTCCGCCCCACAGTCGCCCGCGCAGGGCACTTACTCTCCTCCCCTTGCTGCTCCGCTGCTCCGCCGTCGCCCGACACAGCTTCGACCCGCTGTACGAGTTCGATCTTCCCTTCGTGGTGGAGTCGGCCTCCTTGCACCAGAGCGGCCGGTTCCTGGCCGCTGGTGGTAACCAGCTGGACATCGGTGTTTACGACATCTCCGACCCAGCCAACCCCATTCAGACATGTGCGCCGCGTTGGAATGCCCCCCGTCGCCATTGGCACCGGTTCATGCCTCTAACATACCTGATACTCCCTCCCCTCTCCCCCCTCCTCTCTCTGCCATACACATAGCCCTCCTCAAGGGCCACCATGGACCAGTGCACAGCTTGCGCTACTCGCCAGACGGTCGCCTCCTGGCCTCCGGGAGTGAAGACGGCACCGTGCGTCTCTGGCCCACGCGCCCGTATGAGCCGTATGGCCTGTGGGATGGCCCAGACCCGAGCACTTTCTCCGCCTAAGGTCCTCCCTTGCCCTTCTCTGCCCCTTGAAATCCGTCGCGCCCGAGCCCGCCCCCCCCCCCCTCCAGCCGCGCCCCCCCCCCCCCCCCCCCCCCCCCCCCCCCCCCCCCCCCCCCCCCCCCCCCCCCCCCCCCCCCCCCCCCCCCCCCCTGCCACAGAGCCCCGCAGCAGCCATGATCGAACTTACCGCTGTGCGCACCGACGGCTGGCGGCGCCCCATCGAGGGTGCCGACCCGACGACCATCGCCACCGTCGCTCCCGGAACCGACCCCGCCCTCATCGGCGAGGGTAGTGAGGGATCGGCTCTGGGCAGCGGCTCGCTGGCCTCCCTCCCCAAGCAGGATCCCACTCTGCCCCCGGGATACTATCCGCTGAAGACCCTCGGCGAGCCGGTCATTCTGACGTCCCACGTCACCAAGAGTGCGTTGGTGCCTTCCTGTCTGCCCCACCTTCGATGTCGGCTCCTCTCCGCCACAGCCCCCCCCCCCCTCCCCATCTTCCCTGCGCTTTTCTCCCTCCAGGAGCCCTGCTTTTGTTTGGCTTCCTCTCCCTGAGCCACCCTTAACTGATCGACCATCTGGCAGACTATTCGATTGTTGGCCGCAGCGAGCCGGTCCGGGCCCTGATCGACATTGACCTTTCCCCGGACTCGGAATTCTACCCCATTCGCAAGTGCGCCCCCTCCCCTGTTCTCCTGCGCGTTCCTCCAGATATGTGTGGGTACCTTCACCACTGCCGATGGGCTAACCCTACCTCGCCCTTTCCTTTCTCTCTTTCTTTTCCTCTCTCTCTCTCTCTCCCTCGCTCTTTGCCCCCTTCCTGTGCTCTGTCCTCAGGGGCGAGTTCGTCATGCTGCGTGGCCCTTCCGGTGGCGGCAAGACCAGTCTACTGAATGTCCTGGGTACCCTTGATCGGCCTAGTTCTGGCCGAGTCGGTGCGTACTGCCTCTTGATCCGGTGTTCCCGCCTGGGCACATTCTCGCCTCCCCAACGCTGCCCCCCCCCCCAACGCCCCCGTGTCCCCGCCAGCCGGCAGTACTTCTGACCCTTCCCTTGCCCTGCGCTCCCCCACTGTCTCTCTCTCTCTCTCTCTCTCTCTATCAGAGATCCTCGGCGATGTGATCACTTCCGCCTCGCCGGACAACTTCCTGTCCGCCTTGCGCCTGCGGAAGATCGGTGCGCCCCTCCCAAGCCACAGCCCCACCTGGCTCCTCCCTTGGCCGTGTCCAGCCATGCCTGACAGTCCCAACGCCTGCTCCTCCCATTCCCCGGCCTGGCCCGGCGCTTCCATGTTCTCTGTCCCTGTCAGGCTTTGTTTTCCAAACTTTCAACCTGCTGGCCAACCTCAGCGCCAAGGAGAATGTGGCCCTGCCGATGTCGCTCCTGGGAAAGCTGAATGCCAAGGAGCGCGATGAGCGTGCCAAGAAGCTCCTGGACAGTACGTCACCCCGCTGGCGGCAGCATCCGTGCCCTCTCCCCCTCTTTTCCTGGGCCGCCCAACCCCCCCCCCCCCACCCCCCCCCCCCCCCCCACCGTCCATACACACCCACAACCAACACAGTGGTCGGCCTCCGCGATCGTGTTGAGCATCTGCCAAGCGAGCTGTCTGGTGGTGAGCAGCAGCGCGTGTGCGTAGTCCGGTCCCCCGTTTCGCCCCTGCCTCGAGCTGGGGTCTTTGCCTTCCTTCTGGCTCCCCCGCCTTTCCCCACCTGACACCTTTGAATTGCGCCGCACAGCGCCATCGCCCGCGCCCTGGCCAACGACCCGCCGCTCCTGCTGCTGGATGAGCCGACTGGTGATCTGGACACGCGGCACACCATTCGCATCATGGACCTGCTGATGCGGCTGAACCGCGAGCACGGCACCACTCTCCTGATGGTGACCCATCACCCGGATCTGGAGTGCTACGCAGATCGGGTTCTCTTCGTGCGCGACGGCGAGCTGGTCATGCAGGCGGTCAACCGGCACCAGCGCTGCCTGGACGAGGTGGCATATGGCCGGTATGTGGCCGAGCGCGAGCGCAAGGCCGGCCAGCCACAGGGCCGCGGCTAAGGGTGGCCATATGTTCTGCTGTCACGGTCGCCGCGCCCCGCTGTGTGCTGTCGTACCCTCGAAAGGTGCCTCGCCGGTCGGTGTGAGTGTTGCCTCCCTCCTCGTAGCTAGTTCCATACGTGTGTACCCGCGCCCCGTCGACCGGCTGGCCGATCGCCCGTCGGCCAGTGGGGCTTTTTTCTTTTGCCCCCCTTAGCCCTGTGCCCCGCACGGCCCTTTCGCCCTCTCTGTTGTGCGCCGCCTGGCGCCCTCTTCCCTTTGTCGGCTTTTCGTTCTCCCCCCCCCCCTCAAATAGAATACGCTTATCCCAACGGCCCTGGGGCCTGAGGCCGCGCTGTGAGGCCGTGCTTGAAAAGGGCACAAGATAGCCCCGGCCCCCAGTGGGAGGTGGAGGAGATGGGGGCAAGGAGGAAAGCCCCGAGGGGGGTTGTGATATATTTTACATGGGGAGGGGGCGGGAGAGCTGCGACGAGGAGGAGATAACTATGCTGGCCTGTGGACCCGCGCATTTGCATGTACATATACGCGGCGAGCCGCTCCGGTCACCACACATTGCACCCCGTGGTCGTGGGTCGGCGGGCGGGCGGGCGGGCGGGCACGCGCGCGCGCGCGCGCACGTGTGTGCACATCATCCGAAGAAGAGAGAGTGGTACGTGACACGGATGGGCAGGGTATTGTCGAGGGAGTTGCCAAAGCGCTGGCAAAGTGACAGCAA